CTGTGAGCCTCTGTGAGCTGCTGTCAACGGCCATCCAATGGCCAGCAAGCAACTGCCTCACCCGGGAAGAGCACAATGATAATGCCAACATGGGCCAGTGAAGCAACGTCCTCCACAACTAGACTAAAGAACAAAAGGACAGCAACTTGTCTGTTCCCCTTCCCTGATTCCCCAATTTAAAAAAAAAATCTTAAAAAAAATAAATAAAATGGGAAAATGAACTGAATAGATGTTTCTCCAAAATATATATATATATACCAATAGCCAATAAGCATTTGAAAAGATGTTTAAAATCATTAGCCGTCAAGAAATGCAACTCATACCTCAATGACATTCCACTTTACACACATTAGGATGGCTATCATAAAAAAGAGAGAGAAAATGTGGAGAAATTGGAACCTGCACACATTGGAATTTTAAATGGTAGAGTCTATTTAGAAAACATAGAGTTACACATGGCCCAGCAATTCTACCTCCTACATACATGCCCAAGAGAAATGAGATCACATGTTCATGCAAAACTGTATACATGGATGTTCATAGCAACATTATTAATAGTAGTCAAACAGTGGAAACAGCAGACATGTCCTAAAATGATGAATGGATAAATAATGAAATATTATTTGTAAATACAAGGAATAAAATACTGATACATGGTACAATGTAGAAGAACCTTGAAAATAGTGAAAGAAACCAGTCACAAAAGACAACATTTTGAATGATGCCATTTATACGAGATGTCTAGGATAGGCAAATTTATAAAGTCTATTAGTAGTTGCCAAGAGTTGGGGAAGGAAAGGTATGGGGAAGAGATATGAGGTATTATGGGGTGATGAAAATGTGCTAAATATTCTAAAATTAGATTTTGGTGATGGTTAAACAACTCTGAGAATATACTAAACAGGACTGAATTATACACTTCGAATGGGTGATTGCATAGTATCTCGTTGTTATTTCAATAAAGGTGTTTAAAAAAATAGGCAGTATGTAGGATTTCTTGGGAATCATTGTTTGGGGTGATTTAAGAGGCACAAAATATAAATGGAAATTTGAAATACATCATCTACTTTGTTCAAAGACTATTTGGCCTGATATAGCACCACAATTAACCTTTTAGGGGAGCGAAGTGACAATGAGTGTTCATTTTACTTATTCAGCCACATTTTTCTTTATTTTTTTTTTTTTTTTAGCTGAGCCATCTTGCTACCTGTTGGCAGCTCAGCAGCTGCTCAGCTCAGGCTGGACTCGAACCGCTGTTGCTCAGAGCTCAAACTCTTGAGCGAGCTCTTAACCAACTGAGCCACTCGGCCGGCCCAGCCACATTTTTCTTTTGATGAAAGAATGATTAAACATGTGACTTGAGTTGTGTGTGTGTAGTCTAAACATGTGTGATGTCGATACTTAGAATAGTGAAAAACAATTCAAACAGTAGGGCAAAGGGAAGTTTACAAATTAAAGACAAAGAACACTGACAAAACCTTCAAACAAAAGTTTTTGGTGTTTTTTAGAAATAAATACATCGACTTACTGCTTCCTCTTCCTTACTGAGCAGTTTGGCACATGACAAAAAGTCTTCATACTTCGCATAAGGAATAACTGGTTCTGGAAGTTCTCGGAGATAAAGTTTGAGAAGTGATGCTACTGTGTGCACATCCGTGTTGCTGTGGAGACAGAAGTATGAAGACATTCTTTGGAGTAAACTTTATGCCATTTTACTCTTTTTTTCATCAAATATACATCTAAGCATCAGGATTCTATATGAGTTGGCAACTGAATCAGTCAATCAAGAAACACACATTCATGTAACACCTATGCGATGCGACCACAGGTGGAATGGAAAGGAACATTCTCGGTGTGGTTTAAAAATATTTGAAAGTTCAGCATTGTTTTTTTCTTTTGTCTGTATTTGAGGTTAAGCAAAAGTGCTAACCTTCAAAAACAATGAGAATATACCACACTTTAAATAAAATATAACACAATTTATGAAAAATACCAAATCTACGTATGCATATGTATGTATTCAATGTCAAAATTAATTACTTCTGAATCCTAACTTCAGTTCTCAAAACGTCCCACTCATTCTTAAGAAGACATTGGTGACTGGTTATAGATACCTGAAGCTTAGTATGGTGTGTTATAACTTTTTCAGCAGGGCTCATTTTGAAGATGATTGATTCTCAGCATGATTACTTACCTAATATTCTAAGACAGTTGGGAACCCTTAGAGCAGTGTGGGTCGCGACCCCTGTGGGGGTCAAACGACCCTTTCACAGGGGTTGCCGGGTACTCGTATGTGGGCGTATCTGCATGTGGGCCTGGAGACAGATAGAGAGGAGCGATGTCTCGGTTCCTAAGACCATCGAAAATATGTGTTTTCTGATGGTCTTAGGCGACCCCTGTGAAAGGTTGAGAACCGCTGCCTTAGAGTCTTTTAGAAAAAGGACAGTGATACAAAAATAAATGAAAACTTAACATGACCTTCGTGCAACATGCAAAATTTATTTTTATTCTCTGCTAAATACCAGAGGGGCAGGATCATTTACTGAACTTTTATTTTATATTTTGTTTTCTGTATTTCCCTATTCCCTGTTAATCCATGAAGATGGCTGACCATAAAGATGGAAGGAGGTGGGATTATCTTTTGTTTGTTTGTTTTTTATTTTGGGGAAGGAAACAGAAACATGGGAAGTAGAGATGGGTGAGCAGGGACTTAACAGGTCAACTGATTCCCAGGAAGCGGGGAGAGTGGTAATGAACCAGGTCAGGGATTCTGTCAGTATCCCAGACCGTGTGGCAGGAAGTGACAAGTTCCCAGATGGGTATGCCTTGACAAGTTGGAATGCAGGCATTTTCCAACCTTGGTGAATATTCCCTTGCTCCAAGAGTGATAGGCAAGCCAAGCTGTCTCCACCAAACTACACAGGCTGGGACAATGGCCACCTTGGGTCTCAGTTTGGGACTCATAGGCTGATTTCATTAGGTATTTCCGACACAACCTAATCTGTACTGGGCATTATGGAAAACACAGTGGCTAGGGTTTCAAGGGGTTAAAGGAAAGTATCATTCTAGCCTGCTTATAAGGTATAATTTCATGGGGGCAGCAGATAATAATGCAACTATATAATCACAAAGTGTAGTGAGTGGTACTAAGGAGAAGTATTGCATGCTATCTAATATCAAGAGAGGACGAATCTAGGGGTTGAAGGGCTTCCCTGAGAAAATGATATTTGGGCCAAGATGTGAAGGGTGTATAAGCATTAACTAAGTGAAAGCTGAAGAACAGAAGAAAACGTTCCTGATTAATGCAGAGGTAAACAGAGCCCAACTTGGGGTGGGAGTTTGGGGGGGGGCGGGGACAAAAGGCTAGGGAGCTAGGGAGACCAGGGCTCAGAGTGAGACTGGATGAGGTGTGAGTGGCAGGTAGCATCCTCATGGACCATGGGACTTCACTTACCTCAGAATTAGACTGGATAAGGGCTGAGGTTTTCCATTGTAACATTGGAATCAGTTAGAGCAGGCATATCATCAACCATTTTGCAGATGTTAAAATAATAGAGGTGATCCAATAGGGCCTGTCTTAATTATTTAATTTTATTATTTTCATAGTTAAATAAATATTTTGTCTCTTAAAATTTTAAACTCATAGACAATATAGAAGTCATCTTAAAGGTTAGTAAGGGAAATAAGGATCATGTCTCCAGGACATCTTGAAAACTGTGACCAAGTGCATTAAGTCCTAAGAATATTTTCCAAACATTTATTTTTTAAAGATAGACCTAAAATAGTCTCAATGCTAAGATTAGGAAGCCTCTATAACTTTTTTTGTTTTCTGGCAAACCACTTTACTTAATGCAAGATCAAGGCCCTTGTGTTTCCTGTGCTGTGTAAAGCACATGACCTCTGAAAGTACAGTTATCAGGAGTAACAAAACCACAAATTGGGCAGGATATGTAGTTCAATCAAGCATTACAACAAATTATTTCCATCTTTTGATTCGACTCTAATCCAACCCAATCCACGACTGGGTTAGGTAGTGCTGCTTTTAAAGTCAATGACAAGTTTGTTAAAGTTGTAGGCAGGTACAGAGAAGAATATAAAAAATAAAATATAAAATCAGTATAATTTCAATATATGGAGTATATTATGTATAATTTGTATGACTACATAGAGTACATAAAATGTTTATGAAATAAATGCAATAAACAAACGAGACAATAACGATAAACAATAAGTAATATATTTAACAAGAAACCTGTTTTAGTATTCAGTGATGAATTATTCATTACACTGATGCTCCCCAAGCACACTGTTTTTCAAAGTAACTAGTTTGTTACTTCCTGTATTATTTCGCTTCTAATGAAGTTGGGCTATCGTACTGAGGACATTTGAACACTAGATGGCGCGATTGCAGAGTTAGACTAAGAAATGGTGTAAAAACTGTGAAGAATGGAAGGCTGCAGAATCATTCTTCATCCACCAGCAATATTCTCAGCACCAAAGCTGCAGTAATTTTCCAAGAATAGAAATATTTGAGCTATGAATCAAGGTAAGAGATGTGGACTGGTATGATTATATTACCCCTTCCCTAGAGTGATATGCTCTATTAGCTTTTTAGCATTATAGTATGCATATACCCACATGCTGTTATACAGAAACAATGAAGAAAAACAACCAAATATATATATTTTTTCAATTAAAAAATGTTATTGAATTTTTGCTTAAAAAAAACCTTAAATTTATGACTCTTTTGGGGGCTTTGTTAAGCTTAGGTTATTCTACATTTCCCTTGCATTCTCATTTTTGGCTTTGTCCTTTCCCACTGAATGGAAGAAGACAATCCCTTCTGGAAAGACCCCAACATATGTGACAATTATGACTCATCTCAAGAGTTTCACAGTCTGTCTGCCCCAATTGCCAGTCGGCTACCTATTACAATAAGAAGTCTGGGGTTTGCCTGAAAAATCTCCTTGTATATCTATTTTTCAAAACAGCAAACTTCTGCATCTAACCATCCAGCCTGATATCTCTTACTGAGAACCCATTACTTTGGCTAATTAATATTTGCTTAATAGATACAGTCAATTAGGTAAATACTAATGTTGTACCTTAATTACCCAATGTACTTAGGGGAAGGTGCCATCTTTGCCTCAGAGAAATATATCTCAGCCTTCATCACAGTGCAGTGAAGTGGCTGCATTGTGGCAAAAGTTGGTGTCCATGGAGAATTAAAATCCCCAACCTGGGTAATAATCATAACAGCAATAGCAGCAGCAGCAGCACGCATCTATACACACCTCTTCCTGCATCAGGCCCTCCTGGCAATCCACCGAGTAGGTTCTGTTATGAACCCTATTTGGGGTACTTGAACGGGAAACTGCACATATATGAAAATCTTTTGGGCTAATTATTGAGATATGAGGGTTTTTAAAGTAACATTCTTTTGGTAGACATTCAAAACTATTTGCTAATGTAAAATCATTACACAGACCTCAGGTTTCTTTCACTCACTGGTGGTAGAACCTGTTTTCAGAAATTAAGATAAATAATCATGTACCTTCTAGCCAGCGATAGCACAGAGGCAGAGACAGGCCCAGGGATCCTGAATAAAAGAGTATTCAGGCCAGAAGATGCTCTGTAGCATATGTTCCTTAAATGATCAACATATGGGTTTTGTTTTCGCCTTATATTTTGTTTGGACTTACTTCCGGATTCCATAGTGCTTGTTATTAAACTTAAAGGGAGGATTCCACAAACCTTTCTACGATTGACCTAAGTTTATATTCTCACGGGTCTTCCTTTGGTCATTCTGGGATTGTTCTAGAAATCATTACCTTACCACATAGTGTCTGAACACTTATGATGTGCACTGCCTCATGCCACATGCTAGGTGAAACAGAAATGAACAACACAGATCCTTGTTGTCCCCTTGGGTTTATATCTTTAACTGTTTACCAACAACACGTTTCCATACCAATCCTCATTTGTTCAACTTATTAACACTTTTTGTGTATTCTTGCTGCTAAGTCCCAGCTAGGTGTGTGATCGTAAGAATATTTTTGTACTTCCTGGAAATGACCTGTCCTATTTATAATCTGTGTACAACTTAGGCCTTTTACTAATCTGAGCAGGGATAAAGGAGTCTGATGACAATCCCTCCTTGCTTATCCTCTAAGCCCAACCCCCTTCCCTGATAAACAGACTCACACACACACACAGATAAGTTCAAATGCCACAGTGATTACAAGTATAATACTACACAGGCAAAACTTTGACACTTTGAAGCCTCAAAATTAGAAACAGAATTTTTTTACTCTGATTACTGTGCACAGAACACAATATAATCAGTTGATTTAACTAAATAGAATGAATCTCCAATGCACCCACACAGAAAGTTATTAAAAGATAGTGTGAATTTATTTCCAACACACACAATGAGACAACCTAAAATTCACTTGGAATTAAGAAAAATGTCATAGCCATCTTGCTACTTGGAGAACATATATAAGACTGAAAATATTCAGCACTATTACCAAGATGAAGACTGCCACAGAAGTGTCTTAAAGGACATACTGCTCTGTGTACTGAGTTGACCAAAACATAAAAATGCAAATCCCAAAGTAGCAAATAGTCCCAAACAGATCTAAACATCTACAAGAAAAGCCCAGTTCTGTTCAAACTTATTTTCTTATGTATCTGTCAAAA